CACATCGCATGCAATTCCTTGTTGGATGCCACGAAGTTGGTACCGTTGTCACTCCAGATTTCAGTACATCTTCCTCTTCTGGCTACAAAGCGTTTGAATGCTGCGATGAATGCATCGGAAGTCAAATCACTGACTAGTTCTAGATGTATAGCCTTTACAGCCATGCAGACAAAAATGCAAATATATGCTTTGTTGGTTTTCGCTCCTCTTCCTTTAGAGTTTAATACATAAACAGGGCCAGCAAAATCCACTCCACTTCGAGCGAAAGGACGCGCTGGTGTCACGCGAGGTTCAGGTAAGTCGCCCATCAACTGGTGTCTACTAGCAGCTCGTTGGCGCGCACAGGTAAGACAACTATGTATATATTTCTTCACCAGACTCTTGCAGCCAACAATCCAGTATTTACTCATCAGGTAAGTAATCATCATATTTATACCACCATGCATTGTTTTCAGGTGTGCATCCGCCACAACCAATGATACGAAACTATTTCTTTTGCCTAGTATCACAGGATATTTTAGATTCTCGTTGGCGTCTGCGTTTCTTAATCTTCCGCCCACCCTGAGGATATCTTGTTTATCCAAAAATGGGTTTAGTGTCTTCACAAGGCTAGTGCTTTTTACATTCTTATTTTCTTTTAACCTTCTTATTTCATCATGAAATTCTTCTTCTTGAACTTTCTTCACGCAAATTTCGGTAGCTTTTTGTAGTTCTTCAGTTGTCATTTCATGGCCCAGTCTTTTTGAATCCCTCTTCATATTTAAAAATCTTCTACAATGAACTATTACTCGTAATAGCTCGGTAAGTGACTCGTATTCTTCAAATTTAATATACTTTTCCTCTACGGTTGCGTTTACGTAGGACTGTATGGTTTTCTTTCTTTCTAATTCTATGTTTGCTATCGTAGGTCTTGTAAATTCAATAGGTTCATTCTTAAGCCAAGTAGGTCCATCCCACCATAATGTCTTCTCTTGTAGTTCTGATATTGATGATCCCCGTGAAGCAATATCTGCTGGATTGTGCGCTGATTGCACATGGTACCAATGAGTACTGCTTGTTCGTTCTAGTATTTCCACCACACGGTTAGCAACAAATGGTTTCCATCGGTTTGGTTCTCCACGGAGCCACGCTAGGACTATAGTAGAGTCAGTCCATGCAAATACGTTATCTGAAGGAATTCTCATAGCTTGGCTCACTTGGACTAATAATTTTGATAATAATGTTGCTCCACATAGCTCTAAGCGTGGTAGTGAAACTGTCTTGATTGGAGCTACTTTTGTTCTTGATGCGACAAGATTTATCTTTATCTCATCATCCTCAGTTTGTACTCGACAGTATACCACAGCTGCATATGCTCTTTCAGACGCATCACAGAATCCATGCAGCGTAATTCGATCTCTTTTAGTGCTGAGAGTATTCACCCAACGTCTTAAACTTATTTCCTTAACATTTTCTAAATCTCTTCTTATGAACTTCCATTCTTGCTTCAGTTTATCACTGATTTCTTGATCCCATCCAACTCCTTCAAGCCATAGTTTTTGTACTAAGATTTTTGCTGTTACGATGACTGGAGCTATCCACCCCAGTGGATCAAACAACTTCTGTAAATCAGATAGAATGGTTCTCTTTGTAATGTTTGATGATATAGGTTCCAGTTGTAATTGGTAATGAAATTCGTCTTCTCTAAGATTCCATGCAATACCAAGAGCTTTGATGGTACCGTCTAGCTTAAGGTCTAGATTAGCCTTTGTTGTGACTTTGTTAGCGTCTATGGACTTGAGAAACTTCACATCATTGGACGCCCATTTTTGTAATTGGAACCCTCCTTTTTCCAGAATTGTTGTAATTTGCTTACTAACATGAATTGCTTGTTCTGTTGTGTCGCAGCCCGACATCAAATCGTCGACGTAGAAGTCTTCATGGATAATTTTGGCAGCTTCAGGATAGTATTCACCTTCTTCTTCTGCGAGTTTCATCAAAGTTTTAATAGCTAGGTAAGGTGCAGATGCTGTACCGAACGTGACCGTTTTTAATCTGTAATCTTTGATTTCAGGTAGCTGGCAATTTGCTCCATTGTGGTTATTAACTTTACCTCTCCACAACACTCTGTGGTAATCTGTGTCATTTCTGTACAGAAGCACCATCCTGTACATTTTGGTGATGTCACTTACAAAACAGATTTTATGCATGCGCCACCTCATGATCACACTTCGCATGTCTTCTTGCAATACTGGACCAACCATGAGCTCATCATTCAATGATATGCCGTTGTTTCCTTTACACGATGCATCAAAAACAACTCTGAGTTTTGTTGTCTCTTTGTCTGTTCGAACTACAGCGTGATGTGGTAGGTAAACGCATTGATTATTCGTTTCATGTTCTGGAACTTCTTCCATGTGTCCCATTGCTAAATATTCATCTAATACCTTGTCGTACTCTTCCCTTAATTCAGGTGTTTTTTCTAGTCTTCTTTCTTGCTGAATCAAGCGTTTCATTGCAATTTCTCTTGTCGCTTCCGGTATTACAGGTTTATTGGTTCGGAATGGGAGTTTCACGACGTATTGTCCTCTGCTGTTTCTTGTATAAGTCTCTTCGTAGTAACTTTCGCATTGCTTTTCTTCCTTTGTATATTTCCTCTTCGACTCTGGTTCTATTTCCCAAAATAGTTTTAATAAATCTTCTCCTAAAATCTGATGATGCATAACAAGAAAAGTTTCAGCTTGTTGAGTGGTCTCTTCTACTCTTCCGAACAAAATCCAGCCGAGGTTTGTTTTATGAGCACATGGTGACCCTGGCGGACCCTTGATTATTTGATCTTGTACAATTTGTGCATACACATCGACACCCAGAAGCAAATCGATAGAACCTGGCTGGTAGTAGCTTGGATCAGCCAGGACTAGTCCTTCTAGATGAGGCCAATTGTTAGTGTTGATAGTGCGGGATGGTAACTTAGTAGTCAACGGTTTCGATAGAACATATGTGCGGATTTCCATGTTGAAATCTTCACACCTTGATTCGATGCTGATTTGAACTACTTGCTTGAGTTCTTCTTTCTTTGATCCCACACCGACGACTGTACCCTTGATAGGATACCGCTTTGCCATGATTTGTTGTGCAGCTCGTTCACTTATGAAGCTCGCTTGTGAGCCTTGGTCTATTAAAGCACGTAATATCATTGTGTGATTGTTTTGACTTCTTACTCGTACGATTGCGGTCGCTAATAACGATGTGCTTTGTGTTGTTGAAACGTGTGATGTCATCATTGTTACGTCTTGTTCTTCACTCTTCTCCACGTTTGTATGTAGTGTCACTTCGGATTGTTTTGTTTCTTTCTTAGTATTGTCCGTTGTGTCACGTTGAACCTCCTTATTTTCATGTAGAAGTGAATGATGACGTCTTTTGCATATTCTACAACATGTTGGTATACGACAATACCTTACAGAGTGTCCAGGTGCAAGGCAATTGAAGCACAGGTTGTTCGTTTTAATGAACTCACATCTTTCCATAGGTGATTGTTTTCCAAATTCTTTACAATGGCTAAGTGTATGACTTTCTTTGCATATTTTACATTGCTTAGTGTTTTCAACATTAGTGGTTACATGAAATGTCTTCTCTCGCACTTGAACAGGACTCAACTTTTGTTTTGTTGGTTCTGTGAGTTCCAACGTTCTAAATCGGCTTTCCAAGAACTTGCGAAACATATCCAACGACGGTAGAGTGTCAGAATCTTGACAATTACTACTCACATGCTCTTCCCAGTCTTTGTGCGTTTCACAGTCTAGTTTTTGTACTACCACGAATATTATAAGAGGATCCCAGTTCTCAATATTCACCTTCAAAGTTTTGAGTTGATGTAAACATTCGAATGTTGTATCTAGCAAATTTTTGATAAGACTTGAACTGTTAACAGTCATTTTCTTTTGAGAAAAGAACCTTTTCATGACTGCATTTATGATAATTCGAATATTGCCATACCTTGCTTTTAAAATGTTCCACGCTTGCTCATAATTGGAATCCGTCACCTGTACATGCTTTAATATCGAAGCAGCTTCACCAGAAAGGCTTGTTTTCAAATAATGCAATTTTTGTACATTATTTAATGACGCATTATTATGCACAAGTGTACAAAATAAATCATGGAATGATAACCACTCTTCATATTGTCCACTGTACGTAGGTAGTTGTATTTTTGGTAAAATTACTTTCATCGGTTGAGATTCGCTGGGTATTGGCAAAGAAGCACTATCACTAACTGTTTGTGTCACTAAAAGTTCCTTCAAGTCGGTAATCAAGCTAATGTACATCTCCTCATGTTCATAATATTCTTCATTTGCTAAATACGGTATAAGGTTCCGTTTCTCCCGTGGTACGTTACAAATTATTTCGCTATGAGCTTGCTTATAGTCAATCCAGTAGTCTTCTACACATTTCAGACGAGCTTCTACGTAAGTGCGGGTTAATCTGATCTTTGGGCTCTTCTTTAAATTGATATGAGTCTTCTGCAAAGTACGAGCAATAATTTCCACAATGTTGCATGCTTTATCCACTTCTGTAGTCATTGTTGTTTCGTAAAACCTAAATCTTCACAAAGCAATCAATTGAATTTAGTTACTATGTATAATTGTATTCGTTTAAAATATCTAATTTTTTCTTTCCGATTTTTACAATGACATTATGTGTCACTCTCACAAAATGTACTCCTCCATTTATCGGACGCTGTTATCCGGCTCGATTATGGACCATATGTTGAGGTGATAAGGTTGCAGTTTGCTTGTGTAGATTTTCCAATGAAAGACGTGCGGTTGTTTCGAAATTATATTTGACACTAAAGTAAATATGTTGAAGGTAGAATGACATGAATGGACTACAGATTAATAAATATACAAAATTATGTGATACAAACTTTTTGAACGAACAGGTATAATGTGCACCTCTGCCTACCCCTTCGGATAAAAGGCGTGATGTTATGTTATGTTAATTAAAAATTATATTTGTTACAGATTCAGTAGAAATTGTGTGGTGGACAAAGACAAAAGGAACCAGTGCAGATATTGTAGACTAAGGAAATGCTTCAAAGCGGGAATGAAGAAAGAAGGTAAGATTTATAATAATTACTACATGTGGTAAAACAGGGCCTAAGTTTTTACCTGTTTTCCTAAAAATGGGGTAATCCTAAACCATATGACACGGTATCTAGACTCTTTATTATTACTGAGATCTTCATGATGAGACAATATAAGGGTCGTTTGACTCATTAGCATTTTTTTATACATAAAAGCATTTTAGACCAACTTCTTTAGCTTCCCCTGAAATTGAATAAATATTTAGCAATATATTCATTTGTCCCTATTTGCTCCTGAGCCAGACAACAGTTCACCAACCTATATTATCAACCGACGATAATACTTTAATTATTTAATTACCTCATTTATTCCATTATTTACTTGTATTGTATTGTGAATTAAATAGTCCTTCGATTAGTAGATATGTGCAGAAACAATAGTTATTATATACTTGTCGTAATTTCATTTGAGTCTTTGAATGAAAAAATTGAATCGAAATTAATCAAGTGCTTTAGGAGTTTGAGCTGCCAAAATTTAATGTCGTATGTCTATGGCTAACAAGTGTGTCTGTGCTGCAAAAGATTTTTTTTAAATAAATCCATTGAACCAAATTAAAACATTAATCGTTCTACGGTTAAATAATTCAAAATGTTTAATTTAATTTAAACACCACAGACATATTTCAGTTATTATTCATCGTAAATACGCACACAGATTTACTGGAAACTAATCTATATATATATATTTACGAGTTTAATTAATTCGATTCATTTGAATTAGTTCACTTCTAGGCATATTGTGACCACTTACGTCGTTCCTAAAGCTGATTAACTGTTCATAAATGTGTAATTGACGTTCGGGATTTCGGATGCCTATGTTTATGTAATATTTTCCGTGTTCGTATGACTAGCGATATTTTATGAATATGGTTTATAAAATTGAGGGAAATAATGGACTAAGGGTCGATTTTTCAATCATCAGTTAATTTAGATTTTCTTAACTGAGGAATAAATTTGAATATTTGACAATTCTTCCATACTAAAAACTGTCATGTGTCAATTTTATTCTACGGTTTTTTTTTTTTTTTTTATTGGCTGACGATTGAAAAAAACGACCCTTAAACAATTTATCGCTAAATATTTTGCTAAGTGTAAAATTCTCAATTGAGATTGAGACTAATAATACTTTTTCACTAAAAACGTAACAGAATTACTCCTATTTTCTTTTTCACATAATTCTCACATTACATCTATCTTTGTACCTATCAAAATTAACCGATATCTGCTCATCAGTTTACAACGTAAAGCGTCACTAAAATTACTTTTATATTAGGACATTCCAAATTCTTTTCAATAATGATTATTTTTATTAGGGAACCTCCCAATGACCATATATTGGAATACAAATAATATATTAATGCAAAATAAAAGTAAATTCGTTGTTAAATTTGTATACAAACGCAATATAAGGTAATATTGTCACAGCAGTCAATGAGTAATGAAATGACCTAACGTTTATTAATCACTTTTCTTTATACATACATAAATATAAAGTAATGACGTATGAGTACATAGGTATTCCGTACAGACAGACAATGTTAATACTTTGTGTTGCAGGAAAATTAATTAGTTATTAGGGATTTTACTAAATACGTATGAATACAAGAAACGTTATTAGTAAGATGAAATTGTTGGAAATATTTCGTTTTAATACAGGGATATCGTTGTGTTTCTAGGGATTTTTGGAAATACTCAAGTTTCTTTTAAGTAAGCAGGGTAATCATGAAGTCACAGAGAGTCAATTTTCAAATTAGGTGTATTAACAATTTTTTGGAATCTGGAATTATACTATATCTGGCATCTGGCTTGGCTCAAAATTTAAATTTAAAGGGTGGGTGTCGAGTATGTACTTTACCTGCTGCTTATCTGATAATCTGTATTTTATTATAAATCTTATGTTATTCTTGCAGCGGTACAAAACGAGCGGGATCGTATAAACTGCAGACGGCCATCGTACGAGGAGCCGACGCAGGCGAACGGACTGTCCGTCGTGTCGCTACTCAACGCAGAGCTGCTCAGCAGGAAGGTTATAGATGAGGTGAGTGCAGATCATACATATTTTTATTGGATACGTTGCTAAATGAGCACACAGATCATCTGGTGGCAAGCAATCGGCGCCATCCATGAAACCAGCAGCTGTAGCCAAATGCCATTTAGCGCATGTCTACTTGTAGAGTAGAAAACTAAATTGTATGGGAGTGACGTAAATTTTATATTTTGATTTCTATTCTCGCGGTAGACAAGCGCTAAAGTAGCGCTTGGCTGAAAGCACTGAAGAGTTAGGTACAACTGTGATGCCAGTCTTTGAAAAAGCGACCCTGTCACTTCTGGTTATTTTAATAGTGGAAATCAAACATAGTTTAATGTTTTCTTTTTAGCCGCGCTATTATCAGTGAGTCTCCTTATATTTTCCAAGTGAACTATGGCAATAGTCTCGCTCCCCTATAACACAGGATTCACAACATATGTAGTGAAATAATAACTAAGACATACTAAATTAACTAAAAATCGCCGGTTACTCACGTGAATATACTGAGAAAAGCTCTACTAGTTTCGAACCACAGAGGGTTCTTCCTCATGAGAGTAGAGCTTTTTTCAGTATATTCACGTGAGTAACCCGCGATTTTTATTTAATAAGTAGTGAAAAGTTATATCAAGTTTCGTGATTAAAATAAAACTCATACTTCTATTGTTACAGACAAACAACATAACAGAAGCTGAAATAAGTAACTGCAAGTTGGCTAAAATAAACGACGTGTGTGATTCAATAAAGCAACAACTGCTGATCCTGGTGGAGTGGGCCAAGTACATCCCGGCCTTCACGGAGCTGCACCTCGACGACCAGGTGGCGCTGCTGCGCGCGCACGCGGGCGAGCACCTGCTGCTGGGCTGCGCGCGCCGCTCGCTGCATGTCAGCGACGTCTTGTTGCTCGGGAACAATTGCATCATTACCAAACATAATATTGGTATGTACATGACACTATTTGTTGCATTTTTACTTGGCGTAAAGTAAGGGGTGCGAAAAGTGGAAAAATTATGTAAAAAAAAATATTTTTCTGACTACTTTGGGAATGAGAAAAACCATTCTTTTTAAAAAGAAATCTGCTGCCCCAAACTAAGATTTTCTCCTGTATCGTGGGTGCATTTACAAACACATGATAATAAAGAAACACATGCACATCAAATTATTCTAAAATTAGATAAAAACAGTTCTCTCTTATGGCATCAATATTATTACTAGTATCAGTTATCCCATTTATTAAAAAAAGTTGTTAATCCACAAAGTTGTAATTAAGTTATTTATTATCTCAAGAATACAAACAGCTGTTTAACATTCAACGCATTGAAGCAGCCCCAGTAAGACATAACATAACATCACGCCTTAAATCTCCGAAGGGGTAGGCAGAGGTGTACATTACGGCACTTAATGCCATTGTACAATGTAACCACTTTTCACTATTTATGTTATGAGTCCCATGTAGGTGAGCCTATTGCCATATACCGGCCACAATTCCAAACTCCGTGCTACCACTGAGAATTTTTTAAAACCCAGTAGTACTTTGCCTGATCCGGGAATCGAACCCGAGACCCCTTGCCCGGCAGTCGCACTTGCGACCACTCGGCGAACGAGGCAGTTTGAAATTAACCTCAGTAAGAAATTAGACAATACTTGAGTTGGGTCTGACTTGCTTCTTAATTAATAATATCCCTATCCGATCTCATAACTCGCACGTTTTATTTGCAGACGGTCGTATGGACATAGACATCAGCATGATAGGTATGCGCGTGATGGACGAGATAGTGAAGCCGCTGCGGGAGATCGACATCGATGACACCGAGTTCGCGTGTCTCAAGGCCATCGTGTTCTTTGACCCTAGTGAGTACACCCTGTACCTTTCTAGGGGTTGGAAAATGATGAATTTGCGCAGATTTTGAAAAATAATATTTATGTTTTGTAACCAGGGATGTTAGGGAGCTCTGTAACAGTAACCGAATCTATCGGATATACGATGTAAAAAAATATCCGTAGCCATAACCGTATCCAGTATCATAATCATTTCTATATCCGTATTCAAAATTTCATATCCATAATATCTCTATCATCCATGACGGTTACGACCCGTCATCTGTACTATCAAGCTACAACTCTAGAATTTAAATATGCGATTTAAAAACAGAAGCTTACTAAATTTTAACAAAAAAAAAATTGCAAACAACATTTCAAGTATATTTAAATATACGGACATTTTTGGACTTAAATAACATTCCGTACTTACGTCCCACTTCCAAGTTATTGTATAACGATCACGGAAAATAACAAAAAATCTATATTTTACAGACGCGAAGGGTCTCTCTCAGCCTCAGAAGATAAAACAACTCCGTTATCAGATTCAAATCAACCTAGAAGATTACATCAGTGACAGGCAATATGATGGCCGTGGTCGCTTCGGTGAGCTACTGCTCTGCCTACCCCCTCTCCAGAGCATTACGTGGCAGATGATCGAACAGATCCAGTTCGCCAAGCTGTTCGGAGTGGCACACGTCGATAGTTTGCTGCAAGAAATGCTGCTTGGAGGTCGGTTACCGTTCATTCTAATACAATATTACTATAACGACACTACATAGTTTTTTTTCTCATGAAAGGATAAACTTAAATTCTCGCCAACGTTTACGCTATTTTTCGTAATGTGACATTTTATTTACACAATAGCCTTCCTCGATAAACGGACTATCCAAAACAAAAATATTTATAGATTGAAACTAGAAAATTCTGGAAATTAGCGCGTCCAACGAAACTGTCAATCTCTTTATAACCTTATAATGTTAGATTAGACTAAAAGATAAACGAACTCTTCAACAAAACTTGTACATTCGCAACTTCAACTATGTTTTGCGCAGGGGCATCAACAGAAGCGGCCATAGAGGAGCCGTCTCCCGAGGGTGCAGTGGACGCGGCCTCACCCATGTCGTCAGCATCCTCCCCACCGCTGGTTCCCCAGCTCCCACTGCCGGAGCCCAGCTTCCTGGAGCCCTTCAAACAGGAACCCAACATGTGAGCATCATACTGATACATCATATTCAATGTGGGGCCCAAAACAGGGCCGGATTAACACCGCAGGGCCCGCTAAGAGCGACGTTTTCATAGACTCCCTGATCTACGTTTTAACCATTTGACTGTTGATATCAGACAATGCACTGTTTCTCGCGTGCATGTGCCTTCCGTTAAACGAGTTAAACATTAATGTTAAATCTCGTTTGGTTTTTGTTATGCGTGGGGCCCGTGAAACTGTTAATCCGGCTCTTGCACCAAAAATCTATCTTGTAACTTAAACACGAATTTATCATGCCAATACCAAACCTTTAACATATATGTTACTAAATTGTACTTTATAACTATTTGTATAAATTCTATTTTGTATTGTACTTTACAAATATGCCTAAAACTGGTACTGGTATGAAACTCTTGTGATTTGCTGGACATATGCAAATTAATATACATTTTATTGTTATGTAATCAATACTTTTATATCGATTTAGGCTGAAATCTATCCTTTCCTATATACAATAATTGTCAATATTGTCTGGCAAATCATTTAATATCAGGTGGTTGTCTATGCTTATGAATGGTAGATTTTTATATAGGTACTGTTATACAATTTAATTTTAAGAAAATTATAATATAATAATATAATACATCAAATAAATTCTCTAATTAGACATGGCAGTTAATTTGAAAGTAATGAAATGAGAAGTATCTTTTGGAGGTTGTAGTCTTAGACCTTGTTGCCTTTCCAAAATATTTTGAACAAATACAAAACTAATTAACAGATCTCATTATATGAATAGACTAGTGTGCCCTCCATAATGTTCCTCTCTGCCTATCCCCGGGAATAGAAGACTTATATTGAAGAAATTATTTAAATCAGAATAATTATGTCTACAAATCACATCTTATCGTTGCACAAAATGTATGCTACGTAAAATATGGTCCACGTGTAACATCCTCTCTTTTAATTAATACACTAATACTAACATAGAATAAATACTCTAATGAACTGTGAACTAACAATGTGGAAGGTCAATGAAACGAGAAAAGGTCAAAATTATACCCTACTATCTAAAGAAAATGATAAAAAATATCCCTAAAATTTATTTGTAAAATGTGTAAATGCACTCATTACACGTGATAAAATCTTATGGGATTTTTTTTTTCTATAAATTAGAATAGATCAGTAATTAACGTAATTATTTTTTCCTTTTCCTCTCGTCTCATTGTCCTTACTCAACAAATCGTGGTGGTTCGGTGACGGTGGCTATATCCTAACTCTGGGCGAAGTATATATAAACAAAATAACATGTAGATAATGTACAATCGTTTGTCCAGGAGCCCCGAACACAATACCAGCATGCTGAAGTCCGCAGACATTACCTTATTATAGTGACATCATACAAACACCACACTTTTGTAGAACGAAAAGTTCTTTGGAATATTCCAGAATGACGGTAAACTAATTATCTATGCGTATGCATTTGAAAACCGTTATTAAAATGTTTATTTGAAATTGTAACACTGAAAAACATATTGTTTTGAACAGTTGACACGCTCTTTAATTTCGGGACTTTACAATGATAATTGGGTGCTAATAATATTGAGCACTTGTGAGTCTTTGTAATAAAAGGGTTTATATTTAGTGTGAGTAATATTGAAATATATTTGAGTTACAAAACGGTAACCAAGATGATGGAAACTCTTGCAAAACTTTCGCCCAATCACTGTGCGTGCTATTTTTCAAATATCTTTTTCAGTGTATTGTTTTATATGTATCTATGTGCCTTGTATATTATATGAATGACTGTTTATTAAATTACAATAATCGACTATATTTGTGATCAATTCAATTATTATTATCGTGTTTAAAAGTTATTGGTACTTGAAAGCATCGGTTTTTATGTAATTTTATTGTTTACCCCTAATTAGAATAAGTGCCTTTATGAATAAGATAAATATGAGTGTAAGCAGAATCGAGCATATCGCTGTATCGGGCAGAAATAAAATTGCAGCTTTAAAGTAAGGAAATTGCGGGAAATGCAATGATATAAAGTATATAAGGAAATAGCCATAGATAATTATGTAATGTATATGAATTATGAAACTGTATGTAGCTTTTATAAAAGATCGAACAATTTTTATGAAATATTTATATACAAAATGTTTAGATGTTAATGTTTGTGCCTGTATTTTATATAATTGTTTTTGTGAGTAGGTGTAGGAGGAGCGTTTGCCAATTTTTTATATAAACTTATTATATTACTAACTTTACAGACTCTAATGCTACTCAATTTTATGTTTGTATAGGTTTCAGTCTATCTCTGTCATTTTAAAGTAAATTATAATGTTAGAGATATATTTTAGAGCATTTTAAAGTTGAGTGGCATTCTATAGTTCGGTGATAAAAATAGGTGTCGGATTCTACAAGTGCTGTACATCTGTCTCGGCTGTGTTACACTGTAACAAACGTAAGGAAATTATTTACATGCCCGCACTTGTTGAACTTTTATACTATTTTCTAGATTAATATCTTAATTTATTTGGTGTCGAGTCAAAATTTAAGCGTGGTACCGCGCTCTAGTATTCGGACTATGTAAGTTACCACGATAGTAACAAGTAGGTGATGGTATTATAAGAAACCAATAGAGAACGTTATTGACAGTTAGGTAGGAGTAAAGATATGATTTATAGGCATTTTATCTCGATTATATTTACATAGAATTATATATATACAAGTGATTTTGTACGTGTCACATATGTATTGTACGACACTGTTATGTAGGTGAACCATTTGTTAATAAATGCTCAAAGTAGGTATGTTATAATTCATTGTTACTTGATTGGTGTATACCGTTATGTGGTGAAAGTTACTCTTTGCGTATGAACTATATCATGGGTTAAAAAGTCGTAGAATTTATTGTCATTTAAGTTAAGAAATAGGTGCCTTATTGTCCTATTGAGGTGTACTGTTGAAAATGTACATACTATGTTATGAATTTTAGTAGAATATATTTTAATAAATAATGTTACAAAAATGTGTTTTTTATTATTTTTATCGTAGTATTGCCACTGACGCACGCGAGGTGACTGTAGTCAGTAAGTCAGAAGAATGCGTGGCACAGATCTGCACACAGATAATGATTTCTGAACATTCCTAAACGAGAGAAATCTCTCTCTGTCCACTATCCTCAATTGCAAAGCAAAATTGACCATGTGACCATAAATAAACAATAAGAGAGCCAAAACACGAAGATAAACTCGTATAATTAAGCATACAACTAGTAAAACATAAGATAAATATTCACTAAATTGGTTCAGTCACCGTCTGAAGGTTTCTTCTCGACGTCCATGTAACCCTGCCGGCTGGTGCCTCTGTTCTTGCAGTACAAGAATATAACTGAAATAGCGGACACCGCAGACATGGCCAGCAGTGGGATGTACACCGGGAACATTGCCTAGTGAACACTATACAACGTGGACTCGTCCTTCTCACAATATTTGTGTATATTTCTATAAATCATATTCAATTCGTACACAAGAAAATGGCTTGACAAATCTTGACATTTGACGGACAGATAATACTAGAAAAGTTGCGTGAAAAAGTTTTCATTGCTACATTTTCAACCTATGGTCGCTCTTTGGAATAGTAAAAACTAATTAACAGTACAAATATAAAATGTACTGTATAATATGTATACAAACATAATGACGGCAAGGTTGTTGCGGTGGCTGGGCAACCGGCTGCCGCGTAACGTGTCACGGTTTCGATTCCCGCACGGAACAACTCTGAGTGATCCACAAATTGTTGTTCCGGGTCTGGGTACCATGTGTAAGTAAACTTGTATGTTTGTAAACGCACCCATGACACAGGAAAAATCCTACTGTACTTACATAATGACCACCAATTTACTTTCTAATTAATCCCTAAATCCCCATCTAGCAAAACAACAGCAACCTGGCGAGTTGGGGAAAGTATTTATTTATGGTAAACCAGCTGAACTTAAAAATATTTAGGTTCACACAAACACTCAAACACAGCATGTTTTCGAGGTGGTATTTTTTTTGGCACAAACCCACCACAACTTCCCAAAACCGCTGCAACTCCTGTAAGCCAGGATCTACAGTACCTAGATACAACTATGAAAACATCGGAACACTAAAGTCCGGCGCGTCCCAGGGACATGAATAACTGTCCTTTTCCCACAACGAAGTGAATCAGAAGATATTATAAGAGAAGAAAAAAATAATAGTTTCCACTTCCCTCGGTGAATTACTGCAGGAGACAGAATGAATTAAGCCTAAGGGGTTTGTTTCATTTCTTGGGGATTATGCAAATGAATCAACGTCGCCATACACGAGGAAAGACACCTTCTGCGATACAACGGTTGAATACAGTTATTACGCTTCTATTATCATTTTATTTGAGACATTGTCTTCACCAGATGATTTATTTAAAAGCAAAGTTTTAACAATAGTTACGAGCTCTTTGATGGACGGTAGGTCAGACACAGGTGGTTCAAGCGGTATAGCTGCCCACGACCTAATCTGTTGATGATAATCATTGTCTGTCTCGAATACATCGTCAGGGACAAGTTCATCGAGCAGAACTTCCGTTGTCTCCTCAATACCAGTGGTGTGAACATTGTTGACTTTTATGTTCTGTACGAATGCCAGATCGACAGATCTTTGAACTCATGGTATAGAGGCGACCACGGGCCCTCCCTCTCCAATTTCTGTACAACCCTCCAAAGCAAATCACCCTTGGCTTTCTCCACCGAAGCCCTATAGCGTGACCTGGCAACTCTAAACGCAATCAGTGCTTCATCAAAAACGGTACCGGTTACCTTACTTACTTACGTTGTTCGACTAGATAGTTATTCCACCAGTCGCATCTTCGCATACTTGTCAAGGACCCGCGACCAATAGCAAGGTCGGCACAGTAGGTAAAGGCATCCGACATGATTAAATTAGATATGACGTGACGTCATTAAATTAGATATGGATGTTACTGTGAAATTAGGTGATCTCGTGACATAAATTCCAGCCCGCGACCTGCCAACCAGCTGCACTACCCTGTGCCGTAAGTGGGTATTTTGATATTGTTCTTGAATAAGTACTATGTCAAGTTGATAATCGACAATTAATTTATCTAATTCAGACGTCGCAACCCTATCGTTATGGAGATTCAACTGCCCTATGGTTAGCTTATCCATACTATTATTTAATAGGTTGTATTGAGAATAAGTTGTTCAAGTTTTGTTTTATAAGTAGCACTCTGGCGAGCCATAACGGTGATCCTGAGGTTTCTTGAAACGTTTACACGCCACGCAAGTTGAAATAAAATTTGTTTCCTCGAGCTGCATATATGATGAACCTAATGTTCAGATGTGTAAAAGTGGGTCTACTTCACCCACGGTCATTGCCACCCTGTCCTTCAATTTCAAAAACTAATTCTACAGGGGGTGATGGCACCTAGGGGGGTTCAAAAATTTGGTTATTTTGAGGCTAGACCTAGCCACTAGTTTTTTAGATATTTGCAATTTTAATATTTAAAAAATCTGTTGAAATTTTAAAAGCAAAATGCAAATTCGTCTTATGCAGATATTTACCAAAATAGTAATTTGGAATAAAACACAGATAAAAAATATAAAATGTTTAATGTCCTTAACAAAATTATTTATTTAAAATTACAATACAGTCAACAAATTAAAAGCTACCCAAAATCTCCAGATACATTTTACAAATGGGCAGTCTATCACAGTCTCATACAACAACAATCACAATGGCCAAACCCTGTGAGACCTAAATATTAAATAATTATTGTTTTATGGTATATTTATGTAACTGTTTAACTAGGCAACTCGACTAGTCTCTGAACTCGAGTTTGTTGCAAATTACTCGCATTATCGCAATCACAGAACATAATATAAAGAAGGCCGCAATGTCATTTGTAATGCAATACTTTTCTGGCTCGAAACTAGTTAAGTTACCTTGTTCAAAAATTTAAACATTAAAAATGCTTCTTTTAGCAATCAAGTGCAATCAAATACAAAATTTGTATGATATTTTCACATGTAGAGAAATTAGTGTTCTGCGTAATGCTAATACATAATTATTTTCGAGTACGACGCATTTCAGTAATCAATAGATAGCAATAATCTAATCCTAATTTACTTTAAATTGGACACAATTAGTAGATTAGATTATTTCTTTCTAACAACTAAGACATATTGTAAAAGAATAATGATAAATTGATATTTATGTAATTGTAAGTACATAATGATTGTATGTACAATGGCCGGCAGGTCAATCTACTACAATCTGTGAAATTTATTAATTGGATTTTCTACTTTATACCAATAAAATAAAGTTGAAGATGTAATAGAAAATGATGCGTCGACGTGCTGGCCATTATACTAACGAATACTGCTATGCGTGAACGAATTACTAATTATTATATAAGTATGTAATTGATAAAAAATGTAGTTCTAAAATTATTCTACATACTTAAAACATAACATAGCATCACACATCACTCCGAAGGGGTAGGCAATGCACATTACGGCACTTAATTCCAATGTACAATGTAACACCTACTTTTCACTAGACTGAAAACGAATCAATTATATATAATAGAAACTACAGAGTGTTACCTACTATGACGAACACATACTTGTATAGTTTCCGTTACATTTATATGTCTGGTACTATAACCACGTCTGTATATTATATCGCAACTAGCTGTAGCAAAATAAGTCTTACGTTGTGATGATAAGAATTACATTACAAAAAATTAAATGAAGACTTTAAAATATTAGTTTTTAGACCATTTTAATATACGACTTAAAATTTTGACTAGATTTACTTTTTTGTTCTTAGAACATATGCGTTTTTAAATGCGCTTTAGATATTGGAATACTGATATACATGCAATTTGACTATTGTCCAGCAATAATACAAGAAAGTCGACTTATAAAAAACACATATTTGGAATTTGAGTACATAGTAAAAATGTCCTTTAGGAACACTGGTGGTGTTACCACACACCTAAATCATTTATTTATTTATTTTTAAACAGTCACACCAGAAGAAAACCACACCATTAGCATCTCTTGACTAAGACTTACTTAGCAACTTAAGAGTGAGGGACCACCTAAATTAATCCCGCAATTTTAGCTTTAGGTGTCACTTATAGGTTGGTGAAAAATTAAAATGTCGTTAAGTCACCTATCTTCAATTCCCAAGCGGTCACCGGAGACAGCTCTCAACTCACTGCATTAAAGACCTTATTTCTGATGTTTAGAGACTAATTTTCTATGAACAAAAATCAGGGATTTTCGGTACAAGGTCTCAAGTGATATGCTTAGGGGTTCCTTGAAATTTAAGAGTGGTTGGTCAAAGAGAGCATTACTCATTTATTCTTAGAATAATAATTAAGAATTAATATAGCACATATGTTCTTAAACACTAGTTATTTCCTCTTTAAGAGCAAATAATTTATACTTAGGACTTACCTAACTAGATTAGGGGCCTGTTTCACCTGGTGCTATGTACCAGATTGAATATAGAACACAATTTGTATGAACTATCTGAACTTATATAAAGGTGATGAAACAGGCTTTAACTCACAGTATTCCTATTATCTATATAAAAGTAATTATATTTAATATTATGAACTAGAAGTCTACGCAGACGTATTGCATTCCAGCTGCACTGTGTCTATGATCTACGACTGCTGTGCAGTTCTTTTATTCACTTAAGATCCTAAATTATTGTTTCAAAGGAAGAAGATAATAAGGATAACGACAATTACTGAAATTCAATACTTTTCGAAATATGAAAAATTTTAATAATTTTGTACAGGATTACTTAAAGAGTCATAATCTTGCGTCAAGTAGCATACTTATTTCTTTTAAATTAACTAGAACATGGGAGTAACATTAGTTTAAGACATTCAAATCGTTACTATTATAAATGGGAAAGTGAGTTTGTTTGTTCCGCTTTCACGCCGTATCTTCTAAACCGATTGCTTTGAATTTTTGTAGACGTAAAGTTAGAAGTCCGGATTAAATAATAGGGTACTTTTTATCCCGGAAAATTTTGATATTCCCGAGGGAAAACAAAAGAATTAGTATAGGTGGCGCTGTGTGTATTGGTATATGTCACATAGGCTACTTTTATCTTTTTGTGACGTGTAAAAGGTAGTAGATTTATAAGTGAGAACAGTATACTATCATTAAATCAATCAATGCAAGTGTGATTATTCTTAAAACTTTTGATGCACAGAAAATTGTTTAATTTTTGACTACATCTTCAATCCTATTTTTAATTTACAACCAATCTCAAAAAGCCGTAGCTGATTTTTAAAAACCACTTACATTACTCAGTGCTTGGTACTAATCTAGGTTTGACGCGGAAGGTCTGGCTCTGGAGCGAGTAGTGTTGACTCCTACGTAACAGAAGCCGGCATCAATCCCATGGTCTATCAGATACTGGAGCCATTGCAACTGCTTCACCGACGGCTTGTCTGCATCAGTCTTCACTTCGACGAACTTTATCTAAAAAAGAAACGTTCAGTTTTTGTTGAATAGGAACTTAGGCTCATTTTTCTTCGTCCAAGTTTATATAGAACAAATTGATTATTCACCAAGTCGAGCGAAAAAGCGGCATGGCCATACCATACTTTTTCGAAGCAGTTCAAGCCATTTTCGAATCTATTGCCTCAATTTTTAGTAACCAAAAAGTATTGTATAGTATGCATGATGTATTTTATATTCAATCTGTCTGTCAAATTAAAAAAGTAGTTAACTAATGAAAACCGTAACGTCGTGGTGGCCCAAAGGTTTCTAACGCACTTCTCATACATGAGGGTGCTGGTTCGAAACCTACCAACGGCAAGTACCAATGTGACATTTTCCGAGTCATATGTACTTTCTAAGAATTTTTAGACACCACTGACAAGCGGTGAAGGAAAACACCGTAAGGAAACCTGGACTTATAATTCCTAATTATAAGTTTGAAATCACCAACCCGCATTGAGCAAGCGTGGTGATTAATGCTCAAACCTTATCCGTGTACGAAGAGGCTTTGCTCAGCAGTGGGCATTTATAGGCTGTTGACGAATGAAAACCGATTATAATATACATTTTTGACTACGTTTCCTAAAAGGCGACAAGATTATTATAAAGAAATAAACAATGGTGTGCTTACCTTTCTAGTGGATATGTTCCAGAGAGTAAGGTCAGGGAAACCACTGCGGCAGTATCCATAGTCGAGTGCCAGGCGACGACATATGTCGGCGACCCCGCGCGGCCGCAGACAGAGCACTACTTCACAAATGTTCTCCCAACCAATAGATCGCTGCATGTCGGATATTACGGCTGGAAATGTATGAATGATTATACTGTTTTGTTTCATTAAGTTGAATGATTCGCATGATGTTTCTTATGGCATAAGCCGGTAAACGAGCATACGGATCACCTGATTGTAAGCAATCAGCGTCGCCCGTGGACACCCGGAACACCAGAGCCGTTACAAGTACGTTACCGGCCTTTTGGGATTAGGAATTTGAGGATTGATAGAGATTCAGGGATTGAGATTGGCGTTTCGGAATTTAGTTTTTAGTATAGTCTAAAATTATTTCTTATAGTGTTTCACCTTTGTATAAAATATATAATGCGATGTATAAAAGGTAGTTAACAAATAGAACATCAAGTAAAAAAGGCGGGATGTTATGTTATGTGGTAAGTATACTCCTTTGGGGACCAACAGACTTAATTGTTTCCATATCGTATAATATCGAATCGTTGTTTTTTAATAGACTAATCGTAGGAACGACTAATCGTACGAACGACTAATCGTACGAATTTAAATTATTTAACATAACAATACATTAAAACTTAAAAAAACCACAACACTTACTTTCAGGCCGTGCATCCCATTGGTTTTTCAAGAAATCCACCAATAGTTGATCAGTACACTCTTGTATGAAAGTCAGCCTCTCGTCTATCTGAGTCTCACGGTTTGTATAGAAGTTGGTTGAAAACATATCGAGTGGGTAGCGCTGGTAATGATTCATGAAGATACCGGTCAAACCACGTGGCTTGCAGTATATAATGTCCCAGAACAACGCTGTGTAAATCGTTGACACTATACGGCCTTCCAAGTGCTCTCCTGTTTTGAAAAAGTTAAGTTTGAGTTAGAAATGTTTGATAAGAATATTGGCGTGTGTTATTTATTTATTCTCTTAATTTCAAACGATAAAGTGTCAGTGGGTCATTGCCAAGTCGTGAATTTAATAGATTTTCATCCTTACCTCTTTGTTTTACAGTTCAAAATCTTTTATTAGCTGATACAGTAACATTATATGGTAATCATTATTGAATTGCATTTGGATAATATATAAGAAACATTCAACGAATTCAACTGGACAGCCGGGCAATAACGTCAGAAACTAACCCTACTTAGTACTTGCTTTTTTTACATATTTGACGGGCCGACGTTCGACCACTATCTCGCCTGGTGGTAAGCGATGACGCGGTCTATGCTTCAAATAAATAAATGAATGCATACTGCCTTTGATATTATTATTATGTAAGTGCTTACCCTTGGAGTACTCTCCATTATTAACATAGTGAGCGATGCAGTACTCCTCGGCAGTGACAGTGCCTCGACCCTCTGCACAGTGCACCTCGAACTTCAGCTTGCCTCTCTGATTGTGGTTACTGTAAAATAAAATAATATCAGTAATTTAGTGTCAGGCGATTATAAGACTTATGTAACGTTATTAAGGTTTATTTTCGTTACGAACAAAAGATGTATTAGGAAAACTATTATGTCTTTTGTCGTATGTTCGCTTATCGTTTGACGATTTTAAAATACAGATTAGCAGCAACTAGACTTACGCCGGAATACTGAAACGTTACTCAATTTTAAGTCGTGCTTAAATATCGTGCCATTTCTGTCATTTTACAAAAAATTGTGGAGATAGAACTATACTTAAGCGCGACTTAAAATTGAGGAGCGTTTGAGTATTCCGACCTTTTTTTTTTTTTTTAAGGGGTGAAAATCATCGAATGACTGCTCCCGCCTGGGTGAGGCGGAAGGGAGTGTCAGACTCTTACTGACTAAAAACCACCCCGTTCCTTCTCCTGCACGTCGAGCCGGAGCCCCGGTTACCCGTTAGGTTCTCCGCGACTCCGAATCGGCATCGGCCCTATTGGGCCCCATCTGTGGTGGTCTGATGGCTCTTTGAGGCGCACGCGGAACGCGACGCGCCGTACGCTCGGGTCTGTTTCTGGTCGGACGGGGAGCCACCCATGCTCGCCGTCCGCAGGCCCGCGCTTACGGTGGCCGGAGATCGTCCCGCGATCCCCGACGCCCGGTGTGTCCTTCGCGATGGCTGGGTTGCGAGGAGGCAGCGCTTCGCTGCCTCACGCGTCCCGCCTCCTCCTTAGCCAGCATGACTGCTTCGCAAAAGGAGGAGACGGCATCCCAGTCCCCCTCGCTCCGCGAGTATTCCGACCTTAGGACCGATTTTTCAATCATCAGTTAATTCTTGACTGTATTGTCAAACTTCAAACTGTAACTAGCGTTGGAAAATCGGCCCGTGAGTTAGCTATTAGAATAAACAAATAATGGAACTGAAAGTAGGTAAACCACTGCGCAAGTTACAGGCGTGATATTACGTAAAATATTTAAACATACGTCATGTAGTTTCCGAGTTTATTGTTTTCATATAGAGTAGACAGATAGATAGTCAGACAGGAAAGGGGGCTTTTATAATATGTATAAGGAGTCACTTACTCAATGGGTTGCTTGTGTATATGGTCTCCTGGCAGCCTGTTCTCAATCACAGTCTGTTTCTCTCCATGCTTCTGCAGTTCATTTCTCAATGTTTCCTTCAAGTCTATATTCTGTTGGTTGGCGAGCTTCAGCGCGCGAGGACGTAGCGCGTCTTTCATATTTTCAAACATGTTCTCCGAATTTAGACCTTCTAGTAATGTCTTTGCAGCCTAAAAATATAGGAGTATTATTAGACCATTTTTAAAAAGCTTTTTTTTAAGGGACAAGCCCGCCACAACCTCCCAAAACAGCTGCAACTCCTGTAAGCCAGGATCTACAGCAGATAAAACCATGAAAACACCGGAACATTTAATTTTAAAAAGCTGTTGTTTTATTTTAAACATCGCGCCTTTTATCTTCGATGGGGTAAGCAGAGGTGAACGTTACGCCACTGTACAATGTAACACCCACTTTTCACTATCAATTATGCCTATTGCTCATTTAATTTTGCTTGTTTTATTTTAGGTTTCAGTTAAATCTGTGTTAAGGTACAGTGCACAATTCTGACTGATTAGAACTTGTTCCAGTTCAATAACCAAACTTCATACAAAAGTGGACTCTATAGATATTGCATAAGGTCTATTATATACTGGATGAGAGAGTGCACCAGAGTCCTCGTGGTAATTAAGAAGTTTAGCATAACTACGCTCCTAAGCTTTGGGCTATGTAACGTCAGCATACGATTTTTTTTTTGGTGGTTTGGTGGTACCTGGGGGTTTTTTCTAATACCTTCCACTTCACCTACTTCGGGTGTCTATGGGCGGCACCGATTGCTTACCAATGGTGATACGTCTGCTCGTTTGTCGGTTTATCCTATAAAAAACCGGCAGCAGGCGGACCACCTGATACAAATGGGCTTGATAATACAAATACAAGTAAACAGAACGCCCCCGAAAAACGTTGAAAAAAAAAGATTTTACAATGCTAATCGTTTTTCTTTACATGTTATTGGTGCAACATCAGCCTGGAGAGGTTGATTACAACTATTATTATATGAAAGAAATATTTAATACCTTGCTTTTATGAAAATAAGGCTTGTTTTTGACAATCACCTGTCGGCGTTTTTCGGAGGCGTTCCGTATACACTCTGTATAAAAATCCTTACTAATATTATAAATCGGAAAGTGAGTTTGTTTGTTTGTTTGTTCCGCTTTCACGCAGTAACTACTAAACCGATTGCTTTGAAATTTTGCAGACGTAAAGTTAGAAGTCCGGATTAAATAATAGGGTACTTTTTAAGCCGGAAAAATTTTAGATTCCCGAGGGAAAACAAAATAATTGGTATAGATGGCGCTATGTGTATTGGTAAATGTCACATAGGCTACTTTTTACCCTTTTGTGACGCGAGCCAAGCTGCGGGTAAAAGCTAGTAATAAAATAAATGCAAAACTCACACTTTCGGGGCTATTCAAATGACTGTGTAGTATAAGAGCCTTCTCCGAGTACCACTTATGTCTTTTGTGTTGCCTGAACCCGATCTGGCCAAGTATAGTATCCAGTATCTCCACTGCTAACATATAATGCTCCTCAGTTTTGGATTTCTTCAGTTCTTCAACTCCACCGGCCATTAATTTGATGTACAGATCTGGTGGTGTGAATCTGCGCAGCCATGGTGGTAATGATTTGTACCTGAACATAAAATAGAAAGATGATGTGTGGGGAATATTAGAAATCGAACAAGTGGTTTCTGATTCGATTATGAGGTCTAAGAAGTTGCCAAAAATAAGTAGTAGGGCAATACACTCGCTCCTTATCAGACAGGACTAATTGTAACGGAGGAAAAATGTATTGCATTGACTATGTACAGTACACTTGTACAAAGTAAACCTCTGCGTATCTTGTCAGAGAACAAAAGGCAGGTTTTCATAACTAATTAATGAATCTATTTCTATACAGATAAATAAAATTGGAGTGCCTGTAATAATAAAATAACCGCTTTATGCATGCATATACATTATGATATAATAGTCTGTCTGTCTGTTTGTACTGGCTAATCTCTGAAATAGCTGGACCGATTTTACGGTACCATTACTTTAACCAAAATAAAAGCCTATGTTACTACTTTTATTTTGGTTAAACAGAAACAAAAAGCAAGTTATGTCCTAAAATTTATATTGTACGCGGCCGAAGTACCACAGCTAGTCCTTACTAATATTATAAATCTGAAAGTGAGTTTGTTTGTTTGTTCCATTTTCACACCGTAACTACTAAACCGATTGCTTTGAAATTTTGCAGACGTAAAGTTAGAAGACCGGATTAAATAATAGGGTACTTTTTAGCCCGAGGGAAAACAAAAGTATTGGTATAGATGGCGCTGTGTGTATTGGTATATGTCACATTGGCTTTTTATCCTTTTGTGACGCGAGCGAAGCCGCGGGTAAAAGCTAGTATTAAATAAATACCGTTGCATAAGCTCCTCTCCCAGTCCCTTGTACAAGGCATGAGCTTGTTTTATTATTAGATGCTTTTCTTCTGAAGGTTTCTCCAAATAGCTCTCGTATAATTTATGTGCTTCAATGTACCTGCAAAACACATAATATGTCTTCAGATTAATATTGAAGTAGGATTCACAGCCTACACTAATCAAAGCTCGACCAAAAGATTAGCAGTATCCTTTTTTGATATATGGCATAGCAGACGTATACTCAGGTAAGCAGTTATAAGAAGAAAATATTTGTATGGGGGCAACATTTTTAACCCTTAGAATGTTACGGGAGTTACCGGTCCCTGACGCTATTAAAGGTTTGACATCACCAGAGGAGTTCAAAAGAAAGTGAGATTACGTAACAAACACTGGTTTGAGAGAGAGTACCAGCTGCAGTGAGGAACTCATATCTGGACTGCTTATCTTCACTTGTTTTTTGTTATTAACAATTTCCGCAAGAGAATCAAGTCGGTACCAAGTAAGTTTGCGCCAGTACAAGCGGCAAATTAGACCTTTCCCAGGGTTTGCTATTGTACATTTCTCTATGAGCATTTGTGATTCTTCTGCCAGGAACGGTCTTAGAGTATCATAGTTCAGGTATTTAAGACTGCATAATGTTACATAATTATAAATTGTTGAAAAAAAATACCTGTCAAATTCCTCTTTATCTTGGAACACACAGCTCGCATCGTCAACAACCATATCTTTGTCGACCGGATACATCTCTCTTTTAATTTTGTCGTATAGCAAGACCAGTTCCAGTTGCCGATCCCTTATGATGCTGTAGTCCATGCCCAAGTACATTAACACATACAGCTTGTAAAAGGTATCTTGAGCTAACTGTGACATTTTGTAACAACGACCCGTTTTTGATTTTAGGCTGTAAACATTAAAATTGATAAGATTTTTTATATTACTACTTACTAGTAGCTACTCCGAAGCGGTTTCGCTAGCTGCTCGCCTCCTATCGAACGTAGCGCGATGTTTTATAGCCAACACAACTAAATAATCGACTACTTTTTTTTTGGGTGGATTGGACACATAGGCAAAGACATAGTGTTTATAAAGACATCCGGCGTCAAGGATTTTAGACCAGCTCTTTGAGCACTGGTTTCCTGCATAGAAAACTACCACCTTTCTACTACTAGAATATCAAAAACAAAATAATTATTAAATTGATTGTGCAATTAAATGGGTTTCAGAATGTGCAGAACTTCAGAATGGTAAGACAAATAGAAAGATTGAGACTGTCTACCATTATTATGTGTTTTTAACCATTATTATGTATTATTAGTCCTAGCACAGGTTTGACCACCTCCTTATAAGTACCTGATAAACATATGTGACAGATAGTTCACACAAGTTACATTCTTAATTCAATTTTATGTGGTAGATAGCAACTAACCATAGATTGTGAAAAAAAAATGTGGTTAATGTAGCATGTAAGATTTTTTGTAACAATTAATTTTGATGGTCAAAATAAAAGAAAATGTCATTGAACAACAAGGGCACGGACAAGAGTCCGTGGAGAAAAGAATTCTAATATAATAAAATAAAAACCAGATATTGTGAAACTGACCCCTAGAGAAAGAAATTACAAACATATATTAAGTACTCACATAGCTAAAACTCTGTGGCTGTTATCATTGACACTGTTCCCCTTCCTTATCAAGAAATTACTAATAGGTTTAAGTTTACAGTAATTCCTCAGAGCACCAATAGCATCCTGCTTATTCTGAATCTTTAGTTTTAGCTCTTTAGCTATTTGCAGAAGTTCTGGTCGCTTCAAAAGTTGCATATAGTCATCAAATTCCAGTTTCGAGTCACCTGAAATAAAATATTTAATGTTATAGGTGTATAGGACATTAATAGCCAGTTTCGTAGTTCAGTGTGACTCATTTTTCTGTGGTATTGTAACTACTAATAATAATAATTTGAATTTAAAGTGTTTTTATAGAAATTGATATAAAATGTGTCTGGTAAACTAACATGTTGTGGTGGCCCAAAGGTATAAGACGCTTGCTTCTCATGCTTGAGGGTGCGCGTTCGAAACCTACCAACGGCAAGTACCTACCAATGTGACTTTTTCCGAGTTATATGTACTTTCTAAGATTATCTAGACACCACTGGTTTGTCAGTGGTATCTAGATAATCGTGGGGAAACTTGGGCTTATAATTTCTTATTAAAAGCTTGTAATCGCCAACCGAAATTGTGCAAGCATGGTGATTAACACCTTTCCAGTGTGAGAAGAGGCTTTGCTCAGCAGTGGGCATTTATAGGCTATTGATGATGATTATGATGATGATAAAGCTAACAGTAGCTTTCAGACAGAAACAAGGCCTTAATAATAACAAAACTAGTTAACAAGAAAACTATATTAAAACTTATAAGTAACAGTTATATTACCCAAGAACATCATTTGCAACAAATCTTTATTAATATGCATAAAGTATTCATCCTGACATACTACACAGTTCAATGTACTCATTCACAATATAAGAATCCTGCAATTAACCTTCTGCCTTAATTTGCATCCTATGATTCATAATTTTATTAAAACCGGACTTGTATAACAAGTTGCACATGCTTACCACATGTTTTAGAATTAAAAATCACATATATTTTTATAACCATCTTTGAGTTCATGCTGTGGTTTATTTAGTATATAAGTAATGTATACCAAGCACTCGTTCCGTGATTTATAACTTACAAACACTACTATCCTATTAATATTATAAATACGGAAGTTTATCAGGATGCATAGATATGTTTGTTAATCTTTTACAACAAAACTACTGGATGGATTTGGAAGAATTTTAGTGCAGAGATAAATTATAGCCTGCATTAACACTTGGAATAATTTCAATCCCAGGAAAGTGGCCAAAGAAAGAAAGTATTACCTTCAGTACCAGCTGCAGTGAGAAAGCCATAAGTTTCCATGCTGGACAGCAAGTTTAACATATCTGGAGTGCTTATCTTCACTTCTTTTTTATTATTCATAATTTCTGCAAGAGAGTCCAGACGGTACCAAGTAGGTTTGCGCCAGTACAAGCGGCAAATCAGATCCTTCCCAGGGTTTGCTACTATTGTACATTTCTCTAAGAGCATTTGTGATTCTTCTGCCAGGAACGGTCTTAGAGTATCAGAGTTGAGGTACTTATCAATAATAGTCATGAGGAAGGAAGCTGTAATATAAAAAATATAATTATACACCTAAATGTGAGTGAAGGTGTGTAAATTAAATCTATATATTAATGAAACAATAATTAGGATTATTTTTAAGAATCTTGCGACTATGTACTTTCAAACTATTAGTAATCTAATCTGCTATTATTATTTCAATGTAATCTAAATACATTTATTTTATTACATCTAATTTTTACTATTGTACTAAACCCTATTAGTTGAATTTCAAATCAAGTTACAAATTAGATTATTTGCTAGACCTCTTCAATAAAATTAATTATTGAATAATCATGTAGTAGTGTGTAGTAGTAGTACACTAAGCTACCAAAACAGATAATAAAAAAAATGTTTCTGCCAACTTCTAATCAATTGCAACCTAAAACCATAAGAATTTAAAAATAAATAGATGAAGAAAAACTCACTTTTATCATCCAGTTGGTCTGCTTGATAGAGAAAATTGTCTGGAGGGCTGGGAGTAAAAGCTTTTTCCCCAAATTGGTTTGCCAAATTTCTTTTAGCAGGAGATTTTGTTTTTGAAAGCCTCTTTTTGGTTGGTGAGAAATATTTTGAACTTGATCCTGGACTTGCAGATTTGGGAGTTGTGGGTGGTGGGCCAAGCACAGCTCCAGGAGACAAGTTATACACAAATGCAGTCGGTGAAGAGTCTGATATGTCTGGATCTACAAAACTGGAGTTGGGAGATTTTAAGTTGAAAGCTGGAGTAGCACCGGCTGTTAGTGACTCTATACTTCTCACAGATATTCCTTTGAATGGCTTCTTCACCGGAGTTCCTTCCTCCTCGCTGTCACTTGACAAAGTTATAGTTTCCTCCCCTTGCTTCACTGTAACTTCCTTCTTCTTTGGAGTCTGTGGTGTCTCACATATCTGAGTAGATGAAGTACTTCGACTTGCTGGCTTCTTCATACTCAAACTACGTTTTTTATTCATCTTGTAACTCACGCACCTGTTTGATTGGACCGGCAGGGCTTTTGATTTGAAATAACAAGTCAATCTCGTTTGTTGACTCATTATTCACTGTATAATTTTAAGTAAAATAAAATAATATGAAATCTACCTACTATTGGTAATTACCGAACTTCTCTCACCTGCTTTAATTCTTTATAACTTGTACAGCAAAGTAATACTATACTTTTTGTTGTATGTCACTATGTAGTCAAGTAGTACGTAAATAACACCGAAATTCATAAGGTTAAACAAAAGTGTATTTGTTTTTAACTAAGAAACAATTCTATTATCACAAAACAAATAACACCACAAGTAAGAATGTAATATTTAATATATTTACATCGATTTGGTCAACAAATTCGATTACAATACGAAATTACGAACAACTTGTCAGTTGTCTTGGGTATTTCGCGGCTTTTTGTGAAATTGACATGTCATTATGACATGTTTTACCAATGACACGAGTCAACAGATGTCAATAAGGAACAATCAAAAGATGGCGTGGGTGTCTATTACTAGCCACAGAGCATGTAATTATTTACTAGCGATGCAACCAAATAAAATAAAAAAAACCTGTAAATATCGATGTCAACTAAACGCTAACATGATAACATCTATTTGAAAACATATTTTTTCTATAACCGTTCCTCCTTGTCCTATAGATTAAAGTTAGAGATTATATTATAATATGTTAGAGGTCTAATCCTATACCTACTTGAGGTTTTAGTTAAAAATATAAAGTATAGTCAGAATTTTAATTAGATTCCAGATTTGACAATAGCTACTGTCATTTTGTGAAATAATGATACCACATATAATAGTGTAGTGATGCACACAAAAATCGATAAACAATCAGTGTGTGTGTTTTATAATAAATGTTACAGAAAGTGGCAGGATAGCGATAGCGATGACGGCGACAATTTATAAAATAATGTATTACCATAATACATCAATCTGTTTTATTTGTCATGTTCCTTCATGATTACATTTTTTTATTTATTTCACACACAATTATAAAAGAAACGTCTCAGATCGTTAATTAATCGTTAAAACAAAATTATCGGTTCAGTAATATTTAATTTCCTGATATACTTAGTTCACGAGAGTAAAATTATAATTGTTATAAACGAGAAGAATCGATCCAGAAATATTGCATTTCCATATCGAATAATTTCGCAACGTCACTATTTAGTACTTGTCATAACGTTGCCACACTAAAATTGTCAAATCTGGAATCGAATTAAAATTCCGAGTATAGTACTATGTATTAGCGCAGCGGCTGGGTAATAGGTACATAATTGCAACACAACGTATCGGGCCTATCGCGGGTTCGATTCCCGCTCTGAATAACTTTTTGTGTGATTCACAAATTGTTGTTCAAGGTCTGTCTAGGTGTGACATGTAGATTTTGTACTTTTGTTTGTAAATGCAACCAGAATTAAGGTCAAGAGAAATCCTAGTGCTGGGCATTATTTTTTTTTATCTTGTGAATTTCCTTGCATAAAATTTTATGAAGACAGAGATTAATACAATAACAATGCAATTTCAGGCTTTTAACGAAAAAGTTGAAAATATAGCTTTTTTTGAGTATAAACGATATTAGATAGAAGTATATTTAAACTAGTAGGCTACGTTGGGCTACCATTAATATTAATTTGTGCAAAAATGTCTCGTGACTATAGAAAACAGTCTCTGGGTGCAAACAGTAATACAATTGGCAGGCGTATGAGTTTCAGACAGTCCCTACGCAATAAGCCAGTAAGTATGAAACCGATTAACTGAGTGATTAGTCCCAATTTTCTACTGACAGGTGTGTGTACTATGTTCTGTGTTTAATTTTTACAATGATTTTTAAAAACATTTACACAGACACGCTTAGGTAGATACCTACTAATACTTACTTAAAATTTTGGCCCTGGGTCTGGATGTAGTGTAGATATTTTTTTTATAATTGATGGGCCGACGTTTGGCCACTATCTCGCCTGGTGGTAAGTGATGATGCGGTCTACGATGGAGCACGTCGTCCCATAAGCAACCAATTCATTCAGGCCTTGAACACACCCAGGTTATACCCTTCAGGAAAGCCTCTGGCAAAAAATTCCACTCGTTAGTACTACTTAGCAGTATGCATAAGGAAGCTTGATATATCCATCATATATATCCATATCGTCATTCTAAGAAATGTTTCCTAGGAAATCTTTACATTTCCTATCATGTATGTACCTACATGAGTCACAGCCTCAACGACACTAACACCTGGGACATCTGGGAGAACATTTATTATATCAGTGGGTATGAGGGTACAGTCGACGGACCCCCCCCCCCCTCTAGTGCGAAATTTTCAGGTAGACACCAAGTTATGTGTACCTAACATAACATAACTTACATGTTACATAGGTACTCGTAGTGGGCAGGTACATTTATAATACCATTTTGTTGCTATGCTGCAACAATTGATCCAACAATATGGCTGAAGTCAAACCTGTGTCTACTAAACAGGTCCGTATTTATCAACCTACATATCGACTTGATCCAAAGAAACGCTTTGATGCCGAGAAGATAGAAAAAATACTAAAAAGAGTGGTGGACGGGGAATTAATTGAGATTGAGTACATCGAGAAAGTAGTTCCAGATTTGTGTATGAACCTCGCTGATATGATACGCAACGCCGTAAAAGAAGAAAACTATGACAGGTAGGTAAAGTTTGTCAAAAATTATCTCAAAATTGATAGAAAATGTTATCATAAAATCCATAAATGATGCAAAATATATTATAAGTACTTAGTTCCTATACAATGTTCGCCGTATTGATATTACGATGTATATTTTGCCAATCTTAGCCGGAGTCTCGATCGTCTCGTGTGTTTACTGTTACTGTTGTCGAAGAAGCAGATGTTAAGCAATGTGTTTATTATGAGTAAGTTTATTTTTAACCGTTTGGTGTAACGTGGTGTAGGTATACCTAACTATTGAGTTATTGTGGTTCTATACGGCCGTTGACGCTAACAAAACCACAGAAATATTGAGATTATTGTGAACTACTATAAAGAGTTATGTTGGGTAGATTCTTTACCCATAAACAGAACTTCCTTCATAAATGGACGCTTAACCACAGAATACTAGCTTAACTATTAACATTAACAACCAACATTTGTTAAGTGGAGCACCGAGAACAACGCTGCTAAACAAAAGTTTGATAAGTAAGGTAGTTTTAGTTGGTTGTCTAAAACCTATGTAAATGTGGTTAAATGTTCTTATGAAAGTGTGTGGGAGAGCCATGTCTCGGCACGAATATGCTCTACCGGAGTGGTACCACGGCGGCCTCACAGAAAACCGACGTAAGTGAGTAGGTTACCGGCGGAAGCCCAATTCCTCTCCTTCCTAATATCCTAATCAAATCTCCAATCCTCACATCTCGAACCCCCAAAACGCCGGTACTTGTAACTCCTCTGTTATTATAGTTGCGAGTGTCTCCATGGGCTGCGCCGAACGCTTACCATCAGATAATCCGTCTGCTCGTTTGCCGGTCTATATCATAAACAAAAAAACTGTACTTATGCATTTTGTGACTTGGTTTATGTTCTGTTTCAGGTACAGAATCATTGTGAGTGTGTGTATCGGTCAAAAACGGCAGCAGAGTGTCCAAATATTTCATACGTTCCTATGGGACCACGAACGTGATGCCTTTGCCTCGTACAATTATGAGAATCCCCATATATTTGCAAATGTAGTTGTATATGGAGTGTATCTAGATTAAAAATACCAAATAAATCGTAAAAATTGTCTACAAAATGACTTGATTTGTTACAACCAAAAATGTATTGCCATGTACCTCCTATCAAATGTGCTAGTACAAAGCTACAGGATAGGATTTTAGAAATAAAAGACTTTAGTAAGCATTTTTACAGATCATACATATTTATTTATTTATTTCATAGTATAGATATCACACTGGCCCGCCCTTATAAAAATAAATGTGTAATACAATAACGACCCAGTCTGCTATGAGTCTGCTGGCGTGACCGCGCTGGTTTCACTCCCTTCCTAACCCATCCTCAAGTTAATAAATATTGGCATCAATTTGATACTAACCTACAACAATTTGGACACAATCACAAACGGCGCAGTCACCCCAGCTCTATTACTATTGAATTTCATCAATTATCCTTATAGAAGAAAATTCAGAGATAATTCTAAACCATTATACAGGTCGATATACACAAGATTTAATTAATATAGGTTCACATTACAAGAAATTCGCACATATTTGACACACAAAGCGAAGAATATTACTGATAAAAAGACTAAAAGTAGCTTTTTAAGATATTGGTCCGAGACACTGAAGCGAGATGTATCCGCATATGATACGAAACTAGCACCAAGCCACCGTACGATAAACAAAGCAGCATCATACGCAGTCCTGCCACTCGTGTGCCACTACGACTTACAAAAGCTACCTACGGAGAGTGAGTGCGGCCCGTCCTGCGCTGGTACTCATGCCTTTGCAAAAATGTTCCAAAAGGGTAAAAGTTTATAAAAATTCAAGTCTGTCACAGAAGTCGGCGGTTGATGAACACACATTAGAGCGCGGGTCGTCAGTTGATCAGTTGAGCAGTGGGATGCAGTGGTGTTTTACTCCGGCGCACCGGACTACGTTTCAGCCTCAGAGAGTTACATTTTACATCCGCATGATATGTGTATTACAGATAAAAATATTTAAATAGTACTGGGTACATTTATCTACAACCATACTGTACATTTATATGGCCGTAAATTGTTACAACCTTAAGAAATAAGGGGTAGACAAATACAATATGCTAGTTATATCAAAAGAAATGCAGTGAATATTGGTATCAAAATATTAATCCTAATATACATCGTGTGAATGTGTATGTGGAGTAGATATGTGATTATTGTGAGGAGATAGTATATAAAAGCTTCGTTACAAATGAGATGAGACCGCGGTACAGTCGCCGGTCGTATTACAGAAATATAAAAATATTACACTTACATCGAAGGGTGACATCGATTATATTGGTTCGTATGAAGTTAGCCACAAAAATATTTCACAAATCAGATTGATAAGCTCGCCCTATGTCGGGATCAGGAGTAGAAGACTCGCCGAGTGGAGAGCCTAGGCAGACGATCGTGTCTGTCACACAATGACCGGTGCGTTAAACAAATTCTGTGAAATGTTTTCTTAACTAGAAAATAATTTACAAAACGTTAAGTATAAAAATATAAAGTAATCGACTTTTAAGACCAAAGTAACAAAAATAATATGTCATGTAAAGGCAGCATAAAAATACCGCAAAACATCTAGCATACCTACCACAAAATATCACACGTAAGGTTTCTCATTCGTTAGTCGCTGCCGAGGGACTGCAGGCAGTCGCTCGGGCGGCGGACAGTCGACGAGGCGACCCGAGCGGGCGGGTGACGGGTGTGGGTCTCGTGGGCCAAATTTTAAACATTTACTAATAAAATATTAAAGCTTAACATACATAAAGATTAAGCATCTCTGCACCTTAGTTATACAATAGCCATTCAAAATAACTGCAGATTAAAATATCTCATCTTAAAAATAAAGTCTTAAACATTAAACTATAATAAAAAAAGACTGTATGTTACCTGAGAAAATTCTTAACTTAGGCCAAATTATGAAATTAATTTATTAAAAGAATAAAAATTGTTTAAAAATAAATTCATTGTAGTTTCGCTGTCGCGTTTTCAACGATTAATTTCATAATAACTCTAACAAAACTAGGAGAATGTGATGATAGACGAATAATTAAAAACTAAAATTAGCTTGCGACATCGTTCGGTCGCTCGTTTGAATGATTATATTGATGGAAAACATTTATAAATAAGTTGCGACCGAACGACGTCGGGTAATCAGACTTGTATATTGAATAAGGATAATAAGGTGAGGCAACACATAAGGAAGCAGCGCCGGCGCCGGCAGAGCAAGCGGGGCGCCGGCGCCGTCCTCGGGACAGCTTCGACTCTAACATAATCAATTGGCGGTGGTTTATCTGGTTCAGTCCTCGGGGGAAGTAATTCAGCTCGATTCCTTCTCCTTCTCCTTTGACTCTGGAATTGCAGAAAAACACAAGTCAGTACATTGTTCCTTGTATGAACTAAATAGCAATGTTTTAAAAATTTAAGATTGTAGAACTATTAACTTGAGATTGTCTAGAGACTTTAAATTTACTTTTCTAAAGTTGATCTCTAGGACTAACCATTATGCTGTCCAGAGCAGAACAATATAGTTTTTAAAAAAAATTTGTCAAAATATTCAAGTAGTTTAACTATTCTAATTATTCTAGCAACTGAATGATTTTAGGTACATATCGCAAAGCATGCTTATGTTTATGTATTCTAGTATACTATACGTGCTAATTTCAAATCCATGATTATATACTTATATAGGTTTTTAATATAAGCAAAACCTACAAACCACACATTATTTCTGTAAATAGATGCTACATAATTTATGCAGATATGGTAAAAATAATAAGTACATAATATTTTATATGTATTTAGTTAGTTTATGCTACGCCTAACTTATAAATACTTAAAAATCAGACCCGACTTATTATGACCAAGCTGGCTAAACGTATATTTCTTTCAATTCAACAGCCCCTAGATAAGTTTTATGGTACCGTAGTTATATTTATTATTCTTTTGGTATAGATTTTATCCCATGGGAGCATTTAATCGGGATAAAAGTATCCTATCACCTAAACCAGCCATACCCTGTATACCAAATTTCATCAAAATCCGTTCAGTAGTTTCAGCGTGATTGACGGACAAACTTTCAAATTTATAATATTAATGTGATGTTTTTATCGTGAAATCTAAGAAGATTATTCAGATTGTAGGTAATTGCTAAACGTTAGAAAAAAATTGCTATCAGTTTGATAATTTTGCAGTACCTAAAATAAATTTCTATCATATATCATCAAAATACCTAAAATTGTTGGTTCTTTGCATGCCCGATAAGTAGGCACTAACTACCTTTGCCTACTTGACAAATGACAGGTATTTTAAAAAATAAGTCATATTAACTGTGAAAATGTATTGAGAAAAAGACTGATAATGACTATGTATTGCCATCAGTTTCAGCAGTTCTCGCCAATTGGTGCTAATGCAGTAGGCCCTATTTATCCAATCACTGAAGCTGTCAAAAATTGCCTACCCAATGGTTTGACACAAGGAATTTCTTTGTTGGACAAATAGGACCTCAGATTAGCACCATCTGGTGAGAACAAATACGTTAGTCTAGCCAGAGGCGGATTAACCTCTTATCTGTCGATATAATATGACACAATAGAAAACACATTGTAGATCTACGTTCTTTATACCACGAGTTTAACTCAGAAAGCGCCCTAAGCAAGCACTTAATTTATTTTGGCGCCACCGTCGTCACTTTTGGTGCAGTTAGGCACGTGCGTCTCGCGGCGCCCTGGCGCCCTAGGCAATCTCCTAGTTTGCTTTAGGGAATACGGCTCTGGCTATCAAGAACTTTAAGAACTTTTATCATAATCGTGAAAAACTAAAATACTTATGATGTGTAGTGTTTATTCTTTTTAAAGCTTCAAGCAAATATTTTGATCTAAGAAATGAATGTAGATGATAAATATTATGTTCTATGCATAGGTAGATAAAGGTGGTTTCAGTGTACTATAACTAATGATGACAATTGTTGCAAGCAAAATGCTACCAGCATTGATACTAAACTAAGTCTTAAGGCTGTTTGAATAAAAATAAGTAATGGAATTTGTTTCGAATGTATTATTATGGCTCCGAAAAGCCAATATGTATGTAGATAATATGCGTTTAGCCAATAAATGCGTGCGTCGTTAATTAAAATAAAAGCTATATAATAATAAAATAATAATAATGAGTGAAACGCACAACTGCCGAGCTCCAATTGGTCTCTGATCATAGTACCTACGAACCCTTCGATTGAGCAAATAAATTACAAACGACTTATGTAATCAATAACTATTAGTTCAATATATTCGAAGGGTGCATAATGAGCGCAGAAGCCAAAATTTGAAGCGAGACAGATGGTTGTTTGACCCGCATGATGAATAAATACTCGTTACTCGTAGCAGCACCGTGGAACAGTCCGCGGGCGGCACTCCCCGCGAGGAGTGACGTCACGAGTCCACGCGTGCGGCGGTGTAAGCGTGCCGCGTCTACGCATGCCTGGCCACAACAGTTCGAGACTGACCTTCGTCGCTGTTACCGTTAGTGAGCGGTTCTTCACCGTTCTTTTCACCATTCTTTTCACCGTTCTTTTCCCCGTTCTTCTCACCATTCTCAGCTGGCTTCTTCTCTTCCTCCTTGGCGTCCTTGTCCTTCTTCTCCTCGGAGCTCTCTTTGGCTGGTTTCTTCTCCTTGCCGGACTTGCCCTTGGCTGGGGTGGCTGGCTTAGGCTTTGGCTCCAGTGATGGATCCAGTACTAGCTTGCCGATGTTTTTACGGTCGTGCATCTTCTGCATGGCTTCACCAACCTGATGATAGAAAACAATGTTTAGAATAATTGTTAAAAAATTTAGAGGGTTGCTTAATTTTTTGGGTCCCAAACGATTGGCCCAAAGAGGTCCTCGGCCTTTTACTTACATCCTCAAGCGCCCAGGTGGAGTCAACGAGTGGCTTGACCTTGCCCTCTCCCCAGAGCGCGAACACGCGCTCGACAGCGCGGCGCACGTACTCGGCGCGTCCATGCTGGAATAGCAGGTGTCGCAGGTTCAGACCCGCCAGGCTCTTGTTCTCGTCGAACAGCTTGATCGGGGACACCTTATCCACTTGCCACCACTGGAACAAATACAAATATTCATTTAATAATTTATTATTCAAAAGTTCTTTATGATTTGAAACCGGACATAGTTCTAGATAGGATGCTAAGCAAAAGGGAACTCTTTACCACGGAAGAAATGTTTAACGCAGTCTCATAGTGTAACCAACTTACTTATTCAGCTAAACAAAGTACTTAAAAATCTAGAAAGCTTTAAATGACTATAAACGACACTAGCGCCACTCTCAAGTAAAGGAGTATGGTTTGCAATACAGATAATTAATGATTGAATACTCACGGCACGCGCGGCGCTGAAGAAGCTCTTCGTCTCGCCGGTCACGATGTTAGATGATCCTGCGATACAAACCATTGTTTACTAACACTTCACAAACATGCTCTGAATACAATATTACGATCACTATTTAAATTAGGTGTTAACTAATAGCAAATAGCAACGGTCAATAATATCCACTTGTTTGAGCTTAAATAAGTATTCAACATTTTCAGGTTTAATCATTATTGAAATGTATTTAATTAGTCAAAATACAAACTCCTTGAGAATACATACCGTACAAGATGTACCGTCCCATCGGTTTCAGAAGCTGGTAGCCGCGGTTGCATTCCTCGCCACAAAGGCAGTCCAACACGATATCCACGCCATCGGCAGACACCCTGACAATTTTACATAACTTTGTTAGACACCGTTAAGCAAGCACAGAAGATACTAACTTATTCATTAAGTTTTTAAAATTCAAATAAAAAGAATAATCTTAGAAAACATTCGTAGATGAGTTTCGTACCTGTATACAATTGGATTTTACTTAAGTAGATATTAATCCTCATTATCATGTAAACTGAATCTTAGGATTACCCACTTAAACAAAGAAATAGTACCTATGTACCTAATAATTATACATGTCATTGTTACGCCACTTTATAAATACTGTAAATCAATATTTTAGTAAGAGCATGTCTACGCGAAGTAGATAACCGACTATTTATTTACACTGAACTTGTGTGGCTCGCTTGTTTACGCTATAAAGTGCTCAACAGATATAAAAATATCTTTGTCTATTTACGAGAATTAAATGACGCGCTTGTTACGAAGCAGCTGCCCTAAGGAGCGGGTTATAAACCGAACAATTAACGTGAGACCCAACCAACTTAAGCAGACCCCTGCTGCAGCTATTATGTCCTCACATTTGAACTGTTAATAAAAGCTCTAAGGGGGTGGGAGAGGTCTTTATAAACTGGCAGAGCGTGTATCACACGAGGAGGACTCGCGCTGAAATATGTAACTGTAATAGGCGCCAATTAACTAAGCATGGGATTGGGAACAATACGCTGGCTTTGAGACGTCGCGCGGAGGGAAGTACATCATTCAATGATTCAACTGTGCATTTTTAAATGGTGAACCAGATGCTTGTAACCCTTTGGAATCCGGAAGAGATTTATATGTAACACCGTCATAAAATGGTGTGACAAACCGCTGTGTAACTAGTAAGAATTTATCGTGACAATAATAGGAATACACCAGCATAAAAATCCTCGCATACCAAACATTTAATGGGCGTAACGTAAACAAAGGTATTATTAGGAAGATGAAGGGCCGCTGAACGAGATATATTTAGCTCAGTGATATCACGATACCCTCCCTTCATTTTTAGAATTCTTCGTGATTGCTAAACGAATTAATTTGTTCTTTGTGATTCATTTTATATCGCCTTACAATTAACACATTTTTATGAGACATTGTTTCGAGAAGCGAATTTTATCAAAAGATTTAACAAGATTACAAATTACTTGAAAGTAGGTACGTGTATAGCCTGAACAAGACTGTTAGCTCATAAAGTCGCAATAGATGGGGCGGTATCACATTGATTTTTTAACTTTGGCACGTGTTCAAAGAATAATGAAACTCATTCAAATATTGATGATCTCACCGAATTCTTGATATGAACTTCCAAATTCGCTAGTTTATTGTACCTACACGCGTAAAATTACGATCGAGTTGCGAAATTGGAACGCAAGGACGAACAAGTACAACATGTTGTACTCACTCGTACTAATTAGTGAAACCGTTACCATTGTGTTGGTACCTAATTGAAATTTTGAAAATGTAGCATTTCTAGATAACGAAGAAAGGAAGATAACGATGCAAATAAATGACTCTATTCTAGAAGTTCTTGTCATTCATGGTTTCTCTATAAAGGACAATTTACTATAGAAGGAACAGAAGCGTCTAACTAACATTTATTATACCTATCTATACTATTCTTCACCAATACAACCATACATAGTTATATTTTACTGCTGTAACTCATTCTTCTATTGGGTGATCAAAAAGGTCATTATATACTTGGCTGGGATTATACCTAAGAATCTATTTACAGTAACGTGTGGCAGAAAGAGTGGGCCTAACGACCCTTGAAGGGTTCGGTACATTAGACCCGATAGAGGTAAATTGATATTAGTAATCTCATAATCCTAATGCGCAAGTGGGAGGATCAGGATAGTGCTGTAAAATGAACATGTTATAACTTGTAATATGTATTATTGTATCAGAATCGATTCAGATAAGAACAGATATAATAACATGGAGATTTACTCTTCAGTCTTCTTAGACAGGTATAAACTTTATTTGTAAAGGATCCAAGAGGAAAGTATGTAGCGAAAAAATTACTAATACTAGTTATACTGTTTTTAGACGAGTCTGTTTCAGAAGCATCTGTATGTAATCAAATGCTACCAACAATTTAAATTTCAAAGAACTGTTGGGAGGTCAGATTCGAGCCCCTTACCTTTACAGGGTGTTCTTAAAACAAGAGTGTGGACTTACTTCCTGACTTCGCTGGTGTAGTCGCTGCCACGCTCCAGGAGGTGGTCGATGTTGTTGTTGTTGGCTTTCAGAGCCTCATGCTTGGATTTGGAGCAGACGCCGAACACCGTCACATTCTCCACCGTCTTTGCCAGCTGAGCTACTGCTTGGCCCTATAATGTTACAGGACCGTTAGTACCACAAATTAATACGGTTTAAAGTTAATGTATGTAATGAAACAATCATCATCGTTTTTCGAAATGTATTTGCTAGACTAATGGTATTGTGATGTTGAGCTTTGTACGGATAAAATGGTGCCTACCCATAAAACCTAGTTAGCTATGATCTCAAAATTTTAATTCATATTAGACATTTTAATATTAATTCATATAGGTACCTTTCAAACTTTTAAAAAGCACTCAGATAGGATGACAGTAAAACAATATGTCCATTTACCACCACATTATCACGAATAGTTAGCATAGTCGTAAGTTGTTTGCGTCTAAATTGGTTTCCCCTGTTAATAAATGTTAGCTAATTGGTATTGTCACCCCGCGCCCCGCCCAGCGAGCAAGCTTCCGAGTCACCGGTCACTGACACGCAAGGGTGGTCACGTCATGTCGGATCGTTGAAACAAAAATTCCAGAGCAAACATATATTTTCAAGTATTTAGAGCAACAATTAGGCATCTCGTTAGAATGTTTGCTCAGTAATTATGAAGCATACGAGAGTGGAGCGTGCTGTGCACTGTGTGCTCCCTGTCTCCGCCTGCCCGCGCCAGGGTCAATGCTACCGCGAGTATTTTCGATTTCATTTCGGTTCTGTCAACCTTTTAATAAACTTAATTTTAGCATTTTGCATTCATGAATTTTGATCTGACTCAGTGCTTGATAAAAACAACTTATTTTTTACGTAAACTTGACAAAAACAACTTGTACTTTCATTTCTCTGAAGTAGTCTCCGTTGAAGAAGAGATAATAATACAGTTGGTCATCTTTGTTTTTTGCATTACATTGATTTGTCATCCGATGCAGTAAAATCAGTTTTTAGTAAACTACAATTGATTGTTCGTGTTCTACGAATTTGAATCAACTTTATCTTGTATTTTATTACGGCTGTCATAGGAACCTTAATAAGTATAAAGATAAATATGCAGCAATGACTTACCACGCCGCCTCCCGCGGAGTGTACAAGCAGGCTCTTGCCAGGAGTCAGGTTGGCCATCTCGAAGAGAAGCAAGTAGGCTACCACATAATTGGTGGTAACGGCTACAGCGTCCAAAGCTGTCATGCCTTCAGGCAGGGCATACACGTACTGTGCGGGCACGGAGACCAGCTCAGCCCAGGCCCTGTACTCCGGAAGAGCCACGACTTGGTCGCCAACCTGTTCACAAAAATATCGAAATTTGAGGTGGACCCAGAACAATTCCTTGAGGTACCCTAGGTTACCATATAATTGTTCTACATTTTCATCGATATCATAAAATAGCTCTAATTTAAATTAATCAATTTATAAATTCCTAAAAAAGAAGCCAATATGTCTACTGCCCCATAACACTAAATCTTAGACCAATAACAATATTTCACTTTCCGTAGAAACAATGAGACGTGTTTATGGGATCGTATACCCGACTCAAGCTTTGATGTTGACTTTACGTAACAATGAGTAGATTAACTTCTGATGGACTAAGTAGCGATTAAAAATATCCTACTAATATCCTTACTAATATTATAAATCGGAAAGTGAGTTTGTTTGTTTGTTTGTTCCGCTTTCACGCCGTAACTATTAAACCGATTGCTTTGAATTTTTGCAGACGTAAAGTTAGAAGTCTGGCTTAAATAATCCATTTTATCACGGAAAAATTTAATATTCTTGAGGGAAAACGAAATTAGTGGTATAGATAGCGCTGTGTGTATTGGTATATGTCACATAGGCTACTTTTTATCTTTTTGTGACGCGAGCGAAGCCGCGGGTAAAAGCTAGTTATAAATAAATGCGAAAATTTTCATGTTTGTTTGTTTGTCAGTTACTCTTTTTTTCGCATTAAAACGGCTGAATGGGATCGAGATGAAATTTGGAACAGGGGTAGTATATTCTGGAATAACATATAGGCTAATTTTTATGCCACGGCAACGTGAGGAAGCCTCTGGCTGGTTTTCTATACAAGATCTGAATGTCAAAGAATGTTTGTCCATAATATTAAGTCCATTTTATGGTAGACAGTTTTCAAAGTTATGACCACCATTCACTTCCCTTCTATGGGATGTTAATTCTTTACCACCGGAGCTTACAAATAGGTTGTAGCCATATAGAAAAGGTATAACAAAATCTTAGTCTAACGCTAAAACGGAAGTTTTATTACAGACATTGCAATTAAAACTAATTTAACTTAAATTAGAAATAGCGGCAGTTGCAATCCGTTGCGATACGTACCTACTACAACCACCCGTGACCAATTTACTTTTAAACTTAAGTTATTCAATAAAGATTTAAAATAAATGTATTTCTTCTTAGAAAGGAAGAAATTGAACTGCGTAGTACCGGCAGGGACATCGTCGCCTATCTGTGGTGAACGCGCATTAATTATTTTATTCATTACCCAATTAATATTCTCGAAGCGTGTGAAATTTCACATAGTAATGTTGAGGAATTGCACGAAGAAACGTATCGGAGAAATTAATTTAGATTAGGGCTGGTAAATGCTCGAGAATTTATTAAGATTAATTGGGCGAGAATGTGGTTCAATTAGGAGACCCATATGTTTTCTTCTTCCGCTAAGAAATAAGTCTTTTTATATCACCAGCGACTGGCGTAATTAATTATCCCGACAAAATCGTTCATCTATAGTTACTTGTATAAGTTAATTACCTTGAAGTTGGTGACGCCTTCGCCGACCTGCTCGATCTCTCCGGCGCATTCGAAGCCGAGGATGAACGGTGTCTTGGGGGGTGAATCGATGGCTCCCTGTCGCACGATCAAGTCTTGGAAGTTGAGACCACTGGAACAAAGAAATCAACGTCAGTACCCTTCAAAATTTATTAAAGCAAACGAAGTTAGTCATACTTTCCAGATGGTTTTCAGCAGTGTAAGCACTGGATTCTGAATGTATCGCCTAAACACAATTTAAACAAAAACTCTTGATTACGAAAAGGTCACAACTAATTGGAATCTCGCAGACATTTAGATTTCATTCTAGTTAAGTCAAAAAAGAGCTAGTTAATGTAACTAGACAAATCAAACGGTATTACAAATCAAATGTCTCAATCTTGTTGAAACACGGGCAAGAGCAATCGACCGGAACCGTACAATTTGAATTTATTAATCTCTCTCAAGTAATCATTCAAGTTTATCGTGGTGAACGATATCAATAAACAAGTGCGTAGGAAGGTAGTTACTTAATTAAATGACTCGGGTCTGGAATGCGGCAGCCATTTGTTATTATGTTCTATAACACGCGTTCAGAATAAAGAAGCCCGCATTTGAATTTTTAAGCGTGTTGACGAATCAATCAATATGAATATGGCAGGACCCACCGAGGTTGGCTCACTATTGTTATACATACGTACAGGACTCAATAATTTAGGTCAATTTAAGTCACTGCTCGCTATCAATGTCAAATTGGTGGTACAAACAGAGCCACAGTGGCGTTCAAAAGAAAAATGTCCGGGTTCATCATTGAAAGCTCCATTTTACGAGGTCTAACATCTGGACGAAAGATGAATGGTTAATGGAATGGGCTATAAAGATAGTTTGAGAATACAGAACCACATTGTACGTCACCATTCTCGATGAAATGAAAACTTTTCTAAGCATAATCGTAAAGATATTTGTTTTAGTTTAGTTTAGTAATAAGTCTATAAAATTACGACTCGGGTAAAATTAAATACTCAAGATAAGTAGCTCAATTTAAACAGAAAAATCTCATTAGAAGTTACTTAAATTATGGTTTAGGTGTTTACAACAAAAAATTAAGTAACTTAACTATAATTAGTTATCAAATCCCTCCATAATCGAAAACGATATGATTGTTACACGTCCAACTGATTAAAATAGCAGTTCGTTATTAAACTGGCTAAATAATCCGATACAAACACGTGTTAGAGTATAGCAAGCCGCCATACTGTTCCAGCCACTGCGGGCGTCCCTCCTACTCGTCCCTGATCGATATGTCTCGATGGTCTCTCCCTGAAGTACTAGCTACAGTCTATACCTATGTACGTACGTAGTTACGGACACAGCCATTTTATTTAGGCACGTGTATACCATGTAGCTATAGCATTTTAATGAATTGACCAGGTTTATTTATTGTAGTCTACGTCTGCTTGGCTAGATTGTGTTCATGTTTTAGAAAGGTTCATTTGACGATGATCTGTTCATAATCAGCTTACACTACTTACTCAATTTCTTACAAGATAACTATTTGTTTTAAAAAAACTAAACAGTAGTTGTTGAAAACGTCAAACTTAAACGCACACTTTCAACAACTGTTTATTGTTAAACCATTGTATTCACAGTCGAAAGTAATAAACGTCTGCTGTGTTAAAACAACCAAATGCTTAATTTTCCAAAAGCCTATTGTGCTTACGACTAAACAAGGAAATGCCATTGGTTGGCTAATAGAACTCCAAAAATATCCATAGTGTACCAAATACAACAAACAATGAAAGCTGGAAAACTCCGAACTCGTATTACGAGCCGCGTCTACCTAGCAACAGCGTTATGTGGATACAAAGGTTTCACACGTTCAGCATTAGCATTGAACACAGTCTTAATTTAACTTATTGTTTTGAATCAATTTTACCGATTACATCAAGCTGGATTGTGTGCACCGTGTACACGCGAACCCTAGGTAATTTAGTATTTAGTGCCTCCCCTGTCTGGGTCCCTCCAGTATTTCCATGAGTCATCGTCTACCCCATTCCCGGTATCGATGCATTGTGGTGAAAGCGGAAATTCGATATCATTTGTCATCGGCGCCGACGGGAAACTTAACTGCCTGTAAATCGCAAACTAAGCTCATTATATTCTTTACTCAGTGTTTGTATAGTCAGACGATATTTCACTTCGCCAGTCTTCCCGAAATAGTGAACAAACTTATCTGGTCTGGATACGCCAATATAATTAGGTAATTTACAATAGAATCACAGTTCAATTCTCTACTAGTCGGAAGCGTAGGATCCTATTATGTAAATGTATGTAGCGATTTGAAGTTATGGGTTGAGTAGGCGCAAATATTGTAACCAGCGCCTACGATTATATCCACGCTGCGAAAATGTATAAGTTACTGCCTTTCACACTACTGCTGTAAATAAACTTATATTGTCCTGAAAGAGTAACGGCCTGTGACTTTAGCTCGCTATCAATAGCTGACTATAGCTTTATTCTATATTTATGAAGTATTTCCTCATAAATGATTTATTCGCAACAAAACAAATAGGCAAATTAATCATGTCGGTGAATAATTTCTCTATAAATATTACGCCTTTGTTAAATATCAAGGGATGACTCATCCGCGTCCTTTACATTCGTACGCAATGTAACTTGTGTTTCACGCATGAGGAGTCGAAGAAAAATGTTATATTGCCCCTACCATGACATATGATATTAATGCACTTGTATTGTGTAAGCCTCTAATTCGGGTAATTACTGCGACATGGGAGTCGAATGAGTCGCAAGTCGCCACGGTGTCGGCTGTCGCACGTCTGTCACCCGCATACGTTTTATTGGGTAAATTGGGCGCGGGCTCTACGGTTTTATTATGGAAAAGGCTTTGTCCTACATTAGTCCTCCATAGGTGACGATCCTGGGACCCAAGGGTCGGAATGTTAATCTGAGATAATCTCCGCCGAGTCTCGTATCGAATTTTACGCACGCTACCTGACGCTACGCTTATTCAACGATTATATTGAATGGCTTCCTTCTACAACACGACATTCGCAGGTAAGAGACTAGTTTTTATAGATGCGTGCATTATTTCTTAATAAATAACGCCAATTCTACGTTTACGACGATTAGGAATTCCCTCGTGTAACATTCGAGTAAGTCTGAACGACGCGACAGCGTTTAAAGTTATCAAGGTTTAATTTGTTACACACTATTAAAGTGCGTAGGTACCGCATTAAGGGTGGTTGACACTTGAATAAATTATTGTGTTGAACATTGTTTCAAAGTGTTGTTGCCAGTCGCGTGCTTCAGACTCCTTATGTCAAGGCCCCGAGGTCGATAAAACCGACGACGTCGCACAGCCGAAAGGCCAGACTGCGAGTCATCAACCCTGCCCTCCTTCGATTATCTTAATTACGAAGCCATTTCCACAAATTTAAAGATAAAAGAGTTAAACAATGAATTTTAACTTAAAATGCTTTAGGTCTTTCATGGCATGACTCACGTGTACTATTAAGTGCTTACTTAAAATTTCAATCACGAATAAAATCCATCCTAAAATGTTATGAACATAAGGAAGTGGGTGCCTGTTAACGAAATATCATAATAAATTATGAAGCTGACAGCGACACCGGTGCGGTAACTCCTGCGGCAATTAATTGGATCACGTACAAGTTCAGGATTACTCAAAGGGTCTTCACTATTCGCACGTACACAACCCCAGCAAAGTGCTAATGCGATTAATGCGTTGCGTTGCATACAATTTCTATTCACGCAATTCAAATAACTTCACGGTTTATTGAACACTAGCAGAATGATATGTCGAGAATAATTTTGAATATGTTATTATTTGCGTTGCAGTTCGCCCCCTCACGTGTTCACAATCATTTAGAATGGACATTAAAATGAACGAATGAACACCCTCGGTGCGGGGTAATTTTAAAATTGCAGCGGGGTTGTATGACGCGACCGACCGGCGACGGCGGCGGCTTCAGGCGTCAGCTCGCCGTTCGGCGTCATAGCGACGCGCCTGTGGAAAATCTACATCGTACTAGGTATACAATGTACAGTGTTTACTATGGCTCACCACCTAGGGAAAGTTTTGCCATAAGAAATGCATGATCATTAAAATGTCTGGCAACCGTACCACGTCTAGACAGTTATTTTATCACCAAGAGAGAAAGCATTCATCGATTTCGTCCTGACTTGCGGATGCTTCAATAAACTGCAATGTGGGTAGACGCTGAGCGGGACGAAGTTAATAAAATACTTGTTCCAATCTGCAACGTTTCGTGGCGCGTTCACTTCGGTGGAGGAACTTGCACAAGTCGGATGTCGGGCGTCACGTTCCACTACACTTCGGCGAAATCCACGCCGCGCGCACTTACATCAACGAAATTGCCTTTCTGAACTTTGCACTTTCATTTTCAACGTGCGACAGTGAAAATTGCTGAACTGTATCGATCACTTGCACTGTCATTTTCAGTCTTTGTTATTTCTGTCTTATTTATTTTGAAACATTCCAAATTCAGGAAATTAGATCACCTCCCTAAATCAAAACGTCAATGGTTTGTTAATTAATCGTAATACGTCAAATGGACAAACCGTAAGTAATTAAAGACCATCTATGAATAACACTGTAACTTCCTTCCTGTATAACGTACGTATTACTTGTCTACTAGAAAAACCGCAATTTTCAGGAGTACCAGAGTTAAATGATTGGTTATTCGACAATATAATAGCTACAATTTAATAACAAAGTAGGTAAGTTCCTGTGATGTCTAGCATGTTATCAAAACATCAAAGGACATAAAACCACGTACAGTCGATTCGTCAGCGTCTAGCATTTCCTACGAAAAGTTGGGAGCGCGCGAACATCATTGTAATTCAGCGTATGTACTCGCGTATAAGTTGGAACTCTCCTTCCGTCCGCGCTCATGTTTCATGTACGGAACGTGTTCCACGATAGTGGAAGTGACTGTTATCGGTTCACAACGGCTCCGTCAGCCTCGGGTGTCTTTCACGAAGACGTTTATTACCCGTACGCATTCTATTCTATTGTACTGCAGTACCGCATGCGCCGGTTTGCCGGTGAAAAGTATGACGTCTATTGCT